CCTGCATGTCCCGAAACCAGACACCATGCATTGGGCAGCAGTGCAACGGAGTGGTTAGCCTGTAGGATGAGAGGTGGGGAGTAGGGTCTGGAGCTGCAGCAGCAGGTACTACCAGCAGCCTGGCCTGGCCTGGCCTAGCCTGGGAATGGGCTAGGGGAGGTAGACTGCCTGCAGCCAGCACCCAGTACTCTGCCAGCCCCAGGGGAGCAAGCAGCAATGGGGAGAGGCTCAAGCAGTGGCCTCCTGGGCCCAGGCCTGCCTGGCCTGACCTACCACAGTACTGCAACACCCATATGCAGCTGATCTCCAATCAGGCTGGGCAGCATATGGCCCCGGTGCAGAGCATGTTATCTCTGAAATGTTGCAAATTCTCACAAAAGGCTTCTGTCTCTTGGCTATTCAGGGCCAATATCTGGACACGAAGGAGAGCCCACCAGCCCAGTTGGGATGCAGGCTCCAGATCACTATCACCCTGTGCTGGATCCTGCTACATGGGGCCACTGTGGCAGCAGGAGACCCAGGACCAAACCCTCCTGCTCCAGTGACTGCTGGCAGTGACACATGAGTGGGTAGATGATGCCCAGGCCTGATGGCAGAAGGACTTTGCCCAGGATTAGAGGTGGCGGGTGGAGGACCTTGCCTGGGAGACCACCCGAGAGGATGTGCAGGACCCACTGGAAGCACTGGATGGAAGCCCTGGAGTGGGAGCAGATAGATCTGCTCAGGCAACAAGGACCCAAGCAGGCCCAGACAGTGGACATTGTGGACAATGACCACTGGACCCTGGACACTGTTCTTGGCCTGGTAGTCATGTGCATGCCCCTCACTGCCCAGCCCCTATCCCTGGCACCACAGGGCCTCTGGTTCCCACCTGCTAGTTCACAGCAGACCTTGTCTGGGCCCAGAAGGAGGTCCTCTGTCACTTCCCACCTGCTGGAGTCCCTGGCCCAGCCCCCACCCTGCGTCCCCTGTTACCTGCCTGGGCCTAGCCCCACCACTTATCCCATGGCCATGTGCCCCAAATCCCGGAGGTGCCAGGCATAGCACCACAAGGGGCTGCTGGCTCTGGGCTCAGAAAACCAGAGGGGGAGTCACCCGCCGTTAAAAAGCACCATCCAGCATCACCCATGTACAAGCCCACCATGGTTGTCATGGTCCCCGGACCCACAGGGGAACTGGCCAAGACTGATGTGCTGGGTGCCTGCCACTGAGCTCTGTCCCCTAGGTGCCTCCCCTCCTGCCCCACTCTGGGATTCAAACAGAGACTGAGAATGTATACAGATTTTAGTTTAAGAAGAGGGCTTTTAACTGTTAGTGGGTGGTGAGGGTGGTGGAAGGGGTCTGTGTGTTGGGGAGGGGGAGGGAAGGGGGCTCTGTGTTTAGATGGGAGGGGCAAGAGATAGGAGTGGGGTTTGCTTTTTTCTTTCAAATATGTGCGTGTCCTGAAAGTGCTGCTGGGAGTTGTGGGAGCAGCAGGTCAGGCAGGCTAGAGTGGAGAATGCAAGAGGACGGGGTAGGCCAGGGCCTCCCACACCCAGTGCCCTGGCCCCTGCTGGTGGGTGCATGGCTCTCCGGGGGTCTGGGCAGTGGGGACCTATTGGGCCAGCAGGGTCAGTATGGCCAGCAGGTTGAGTATGGCAAGCAGGAGCACGGGCTACTGGTCAGCACTGCCAGAAGCAAGACTGGAGCAGCATGGTGCTAGGCCTTGCTGGCAGGGGCAGGGGCAGGGGCAGCCATGGCACAGGGATGCAGGGTGGGCAAGGAGAGAGTTGTTGTGTGCTTCTCTCATGCTGGGCACACGACTCTGTGCGGGCTGGGAGCGGGCCGGGCCCTTTTTGTGCTCTGCGCAGGCTGTGGCCAGCAGCCCGGGCACGCTGGGTCGGAGAAAACAGGCGGCACGCTAGAATTAGTCACAGACGCGTAATGGTTGATTCAAGATTGTTTACTTACACCGAAGATGGTCGCGGTGTAGGCTGGACAGTTTCCCAGGCACAGCTCCGCTTAAATCCTCGTTTGAGGACTCAGACAATATTCGGATCTTTCCCACGGAGTTGTCAAGGCTCCGTGGATCCTTTTGCGCGCAGGGAGAGGGATACATCGGGGATTGCGAACAGTCACGGGGAGAAGCTAGAGGCTGATCAGACCCCTGTTGCCTGCTTGAAATGCACTGGGTTCGATAGGTTCTGCAGTGCTTAGAGATCTTCACACAGCGTGAAGTCTCCTCCTCCTGGTGTTCGTGGAGTCCTCCAACTTGGGCGGAAACCACTCAAGCTTTTTATACAGCTAGCAAGCCAATCACTAGCCGCCACGTGTGAATAATTTCACGCAAGCCAATAATGGGGCTCGAATTATAATACAAATGGCGGGAACTCTTTGCACCGTGCATCTCTGTGCTGCAAAGAAGAAATGCACACTGCAAAGAAAGCTACAAATTGGCGGGAACATAATTCAGTGGTGCCAAAGCACACACAAAAACAAAAATCACACCTTTGGGTTGTGACAGACTGATGAGCAGGGAAGAGTTGGCCAGGGATCAGAGGGTGAGGCTGTGTTTCCAAGATGGCTGCCAAGTGCTGGCAGCTAGGGCCAGAGGCTGGAGCTCCTCCCAGTGACCACAGGGACCCATGGCAGGGCTGGATTCACTAGACACTACATTTAGTGCCAAGCCCCTGAACATGTAGACACCTACCAAATATCATTTATTGCACATTAGCTTAATGGGCAGTAAATTTAATTGTGAATAATTGCATGTGTAGTCATGCTCTTTAGGTAGCTGAAGGCTGCTATCAAATCCCCCCTCAGTCTTCTCTTCTCCAGACTAAATAATCCCAGTTTCCTCAGCCTCTCCTTACAAGCCATGTATCCTAGGCCCTTAACCATTTTTGTTGTCCTCTGCTGGACTCTCTCCAATTTGTCCACATCTTTTCTGTAGTGGGGGCCCCAAAAGTGGACACAGGACTTCAGATGTGGCCTCACCAGTGATGTATAGAGGGGAATAATCAGTTCCCTTGATCTCCTGGCAACTCTCCTGCCAAAGAAGCCCAGTATGCTGTTAGCCTTCTTGGCAACAAGGGCACACTGGTCAGCTTATTGTCCACTGTAAACCCCAGGTCCTTCTCTGCAGAGCCCAGCTAGTCAACCCCCAGTCTGTACTGGTGCATGGGATTGTTCCATCCTAAATGGAAGATGTTACACTTGTCCCTATAGAACCTCATGAGATTTTTGGTCTTATCCTCCAATTTGTCAAAGTCTCTCTGAATCCTAAATCTACTCTCCAGAGCTTAGTGTCATCTGCAGATTTGCTGAGGGTCTACTCTATGCCATCTTCCAGGACACTGATGAAGATACTGAACAAAACCAGCCCCAGGACTGACCCCTGGGGCACTCCACTTGGTACTGGATGCCAACTAGATATCAAGCCCTTAAGTATACCCTCTGAGCCCAATGATCCAGCCAGTTTTCTATCCATCTTACAGTCCATTCATCCAACCCATATTTCCATAGCCTGCCTGCAAGAATGTTGTGGGAAAGCATATCAAAAGCCTTGATATAGTCAAGGTATGCTACATCCACTGGTCTCCATGCATCCACAGAGCCAGGTCAAGAAGAACACAGCCCCTAGTTGGTGTCTCCAACACTTGCACCAAGAAACTATCCCCAGTGCTCTCCAAAAAGTTCCTATATTGCCTGTGCGCTGCTGTATTTCCCTCCCAGGCAATGCCAGGATGATTAAAGTCCCTCATGAGAATTGGCTGTAATTGGGAAACTTCTGCTAGTTATCTGAAGAAAGCCTCATCTACCTCACCCTCCTGGTCTGGTGGTCAATAGCAGACACCCACTACATCACCCTTGTTGCTCTCCTCCTCCAGCTTCATACTGGAGCTCTCAGCAAATCAAACAGCTTTTATATACAGTGCAACTCCTCCTCCTCTTCTCCCCTGTCTGTCCTTCCTGAACACTTTGTACCCATCCATGACAGAGCTGCAGTCATACCATCTATCCCACCAAGTCTCTGTTATTCTAATCACATGATAGTTCTTTTACTGTGCAAGGACTTCCAGTTCTTCCTGCTTGCTTCCCAGACTCTGTGCATTCATGTACTGTACAGACAACTGAGGTAACTAGTTGATTGCCCTACTTTCTCAGTAAGAATGAGGAGGCCTCCACTCCCCATCCTCCTTGTGCTTCCTCCAGGTATCCCACTTCCCCATGTGTCTCAGAGCTTTGGTCTCCATCCCCCTCTGATCCTACTTTAAAGCTCTCTTTTCTCCATTCTAAATAGTCTTGTTTTCTCCAGTCTAAATAACCCTAGTTCTTCCAGATTTTCCTAATAAGTTTTGCCTCCCAAGCCCCTAATCATTTTTGTTGCTCTGCACTGGACTTTCCAAACTTAACGCACACTTCTTGAATTGCAGGGCCCAAAATTGGACAAAAGACTCCAGGTGATGCCTCACTAGTGCCACACAGAGCAGGAGTATCACTTCCCTTGATTTGTAAGTGACACTCAAGTCAACACAACCCAATATGTTGTTGGGTTTTTTCTGCAATAAGAGCATACTGGTGGTTCATATCCATTTGTAACAGGAACCCTTGGGCTCCTGATACTGTAAGGAGAGACACTGTAGCTGATAGAGTTTGGGCAGCTGAACGCAGACCAGCAGCCAGACGGAAGGCAGCAAAGAAGCACACCTGCTTGAGCAAGGAACTGCCCAGCAAAAGGAAAAAAAGGGCACATCTGCAGATAGCGAGGCGAACTCTGCCTTGGGTCTCTTGGCTTCAGGAAAATAGGCAGTTTGGGACAAGAAGCTATGACTGCCTATTTCAGAACCAGCTGCCACGCAGTAGAGCAAAGACTAGTTTGGGCAGCAAAGGGATGCCAGATCAAGTCATAAGCTGCCTGGCAACCAGCCTTCAGGCCCTAATGAGAAACCACTGTGGGACTGGAGTGCCACCTGACCAGAAGGAGCCATTTTTAAAAAAGCATGTAAGCCTATAGCCTGAGCCTAGTCAGGTAATCTGACCCTGAAAGCTACAGAGTGAAGACATCCTAGTCTGGAAGGCTATAGAAGGAACCAAATTTATTTCTGGGCTGCCGTGGGGGCTACTAGTGACATGTTTCTGCCTTACTGAGGAATACAACTCTGGGTAAGGGGAAGCTTTGCTGCAAGGCAGTGAACTATTGTTGATGTTTGCATCTGGAGTGGGTGAAGTTTATCTTGTAGCCAATATGCTTATTCCTTTGTTATAGTTCAAACTGGTGGACTGTGTTTGGAACTAGCATGGGGAGATGGAGATTCTAGTGGTACCTGAGGGCACAGGAGGGTCTTGAGCTTGGTGATGGGTTAGGGACATGAGACACAGTCCCGCTTTGGGCCTTATAAAGTGGTACTCTATAGAAAGACTGTCGCTGAGCACAACTCACGTCAGGAAGGCCAAAGTGCAATTGATGCTGCACCTAGCAAATGATGTGAAGGGTAACAAGAAGGGTTTATACAAGTATGTCAATAGCAAGAGGAGGATCAGGGAAAGTGTAGGGCCCTCACTGAATGGGGGAGGCAACTTTGTGACAGAGCATGCAGAAAAGGCTGAAGTACTCGGTGCCCTTTTTTCACCTCAGTCTTCACAGGCAAGATGAGCTACCAGACTACTGCACCTAACAGCACAGTTTGGGGAGAAGGTGAGCAGCCAACAGAGACAAAAGAACAGGTTAGGGACTTGTTAGAAAAACTGGGCAGATACAAGTCTATGGGGCCAGACAGGATACAGAGTTGGTGGATGTGATTGCAGAGCCACTGGCAATCACATTTCATCATCTTTGAAAACTCATGTTGTTTGGGAGAGGTCCCAGATAACTGGAGAAGGCAAACATAGTGCCCATGCATAAGAAAGGGTGCGTAGGGGAAGTGGATCCAAGGAACTACAAGCCTATCAATTTTCCAGGGACTGAGGTAAGGCTGATAAGGTAGGTCCTCAAATAATCCATTTCTAAGCACTTGGAGAAGAAAGTAATTGGGAATAGTCAGCATGAATTCGCCAAAGGCAAGTCATGGGAACAGTCAGCATGAATTCGCCAAAGGCAAGTCATGCCTGACCAACCTCATTGCCTTCTATGAAGACATGACTGGCTCTATGGATGTGGGGAAAGCAGTGGACATGACACACCTTGACTTTAGCAAGTCTTTTGACATGGGCTTCCACAGTATTCTTGCAAGTAAAGGAAAATAGAGTCCATTTATTCAACCCATAATGTGAATAGAAAGTCTGCTGGATCACCAGGCTCAAGGGATAGTGATCAATGGCTTGAGGTCTAGTTTTCAGCTAGTATCAAGTAGTGTGCCTCAGGGGCCAGTCTTGGGGCTGGTTTTGTTCAGTATGTTCATCAATGACCTAGAAGATGGCATAGAATGTACTCTTGGCAAGTTTGCAGATGACACAGAGCTGGGGGAAGTAATAAATACTTTGGAGGGTAGAGTTAGAATTCAGAAAGACCTAGACACACTGGAGGACTGGACCAAATGAAGTCTCATGAGCTTCAATAAGGGCAAGTGCAAAGCCCTGCACTTGAGACAGAACAATGCTATGCACCAGTACAAGCTGGGTGTTGACTGGCTAAGCAGCAGCTCTGCAGAAAGATCTGGGGGTTACACTGGGAAATAAGGTGAATATGATCCAGCAGTGTGCCCTTCTTACCATGCTAAGAGCATACTGGGCTTCACTGGCAGGAGTGCTGCCAGCAAATTGAGGAAAATAATTATTCTGCTCCTCATCACTGGCAAGGCCATATCTAGAGTCCTGTGTCCAGTTTTGGGACCACACTACAGAAAGGAGGTGAACAAATTGGAGATTCCAGTGGAAGGCAGAAAAAATGGTTCAGGGGCTGGGGCATATGACGGGAGAGGCTGAGGGAGCTGGGCTTGTTTAGTCTGGAGAAGACAGGGGATTTAATAGCAGCCTTCAACAACCTGAATGGTGGTTCCAAGAGGATTCAACTAGAATTTTTTTTCTTTTTTTCTCTGCATGGTGGCAGATAACAGAATGAAGGGCAATGGTCTTGAGTTGCAGCAAGGGAAATTTAGGTTGGATATGAGGAAAATCTTTCTTTCGGACTAGAAGGATGGTGAAGCACTGGAATGGACTACCTAGAGGGGTGATTAAAAACCCTAAAGGATGGAGATTCTAAGACCTGGCTAGATAAATCTTGGGTAGGATGATCTAGTTGGGGGACAGTCCTGCTTTGAATTGGGGATTTTAACTAGATGACCTCCTGAGGTCCCTTCCAACCCTAACTTTCTATGATTTTATGATTCAAGTCAGATAACTGCCTCCCTTGGACCTACCAAACTGGAGTGTAGACTGGGCTAGGGGGTCCAGCACCCAGGCAGGGTGGAAAAGGGTGCCAGGGGCCCAGGGCTGAGGTAACCAAGATAAACTTGTAGCCAGAAGTTGGGTCCAGTGCCATGGTCCTGCACTAGAAGGCCAAGCCAGAAAAAAGTGATAGAGGCCCTGGGAAGGGATAGTGTACCATAATACCACAGGGGAGGAGACAGGCCATAAATAGCCTTAAGGCAACAAGTCCTCTGGACCTGGGGGGCCTAGACAGACTGACAGGGCCCACTTGATATAAAAGCAAGGTTTAAATAGGTGGAGTTTGGGAGGGACCTCCTGACTGTCAGAGAAATGGTGGCTTGCTCTACGACCCATTAGGCGGTCTCCCTTTAGATCAATTAAATGCATCATGGCATGGTAGGTGAGTGCAGGGCAAGAATCATTGCAGCTGCCCTGAAGCCTGAACCTTGCTAAACCATTTTATGGTCTACTGTAACCTTCAGGTCCTTTTCTGCAGCACTGATGCCTAGTCAGTCATTCCACAACCTGGATTGTGGCGTGCAGTTATTCCATCCCTAGTACAGGACTCTGCACTTGTCCTTGTTGAATATCATATGATTGATTGCAGACCACTTCTCCAGTATTCGGGTCATTCAAGAAGACATGCAGCAAGGCTGGTGCCCCAAACTGACGCATGATTTTGAGGGGCTCATAGGAAAGTAGGGTTGGAAGGGTCCCCATGAGGTCATCTAGTCCAGCCCCCTGAAATACTATTTTAACAAGTATGCTAAGGAAAGCAATGTAGCTTTCTATACATAGCCAAATCAAACTGCTCATTCTGTTTCTCTCCTCTTTCCTCTCCCAGAGTCTCATTCAGAATCTCTAGCAATTGGGGCAAACGGTTCATTTGTTGTGCACTACTCTTACAGTAACCACAGGCAGCTGGCTGTGAAGGGCTTATCATTCCTTCACATTAACAAGAAATCTATGTTCTTGAAAGCCTCTCAGGGCTTGTTTTGATAATTTTCCTCAAGTACAAGTACATCCTGCAGATGCAATAAAACCTGAGAGCCCAGGCATGGATCAAAAGTGCAGTCCAAAGTACTTTTTCTGAACCTACTGCTGCAATAAAAGTGAGTGTCATGCAATCATGGTCTTTTTTTGTTAACCCCTATGATGCTGTCATTCTTGAGAATGGGAGGTGTTGTTTATGCTGAATAGCAAGATGATTCAGCAGGGAAAGACCTGGGGGCAGTGTATTTGGCTGTTTGGCGGGATTTGATATTTCAAGGACATCAACTTTTTTTAACATAAATTCTCCATTCAGGGCACCATTTATAACATAACCAGAAGGAAGAGAAGCCAAGAGAGTGGTGGACTTATCATGCTGAACAAGAACAGGCATGTCCAGCCTCCTGCACTATGATAGCCACCCAATCTGCAACCAGTTCAAGTCTCCATTATTATACAGCCAGCCAGTAACCAGGGAGTTGATTAACTCAAGAGTATGCACCAGTTGAGGTTCCTGCTGCAGCCCTGTCAAACTGACTCTGAATTTATCTCCAGCTCTTTGGGTCTATTTAACTGTCTCTCCAGCTCAGAGCTGCGTGTGCCAAAGACATCTTGGATGTCTGTGGCCACCTGAGTGCTTTCCAAGCTGTCCCCAGCAAACCTCTCCTCAACAAGGCCCCAGCTCAGCTGCTCACAGCAAATGCTGGCAGTAGGGAAAACTAGAGATTCTAGGCACCATAACCCAGAGGGTGTTTGAACCTGGATCTTCCCAGCCACTACCTAGCTTCTCCTGTATCTCTTGGACTCTCCATCACAACTGTTCTAACTACCACGATAGTCAGGCATTCTCCAGGTCTGACTCTGACATGCCACAGATGGCTGTGCTGAGAAGATGGAGACGTCCAGGTTCAAACACCCTCTGGGTGAGGGTGGGGCTAGACCTTGGGTTCTCTGGCTTCCTTGGTGAGTTCACTAACCACTTGGTTACTGGGGGCAAAATGTATAAAGTGCTTTCCACAACAATAACTTGGCTGACTGATGCACATGCCTAATTGGCAAGTCTACCTAATTACCTATATGTGTCACAGGCTTATGTGGCCAAGTAAAGAATTTCCTACCCTTGTATACCTGGCATTTTTGGCACTTGGGCCACCAAAAATCCCATGGTGACAGATAAAGCTGGACACTTGGTGACCAGGAAGGTAACACAATGCATCTTTGATGTGCACCTGTGTTTGGCTATATTAACAAATGGATTGTGTCCAGCTTATCATGTTACCCATACCAATATTGAACTTGGGATCATAAGAAAGAAGGACTGAGTGGGACCTCACAAGGTAATCTAATGGACACCCCTTACCCACCCCACCCCACTTCCGATCCTTCCCTGGCATAGTTAGATAGCTCTTCCTAATCTCTAACCTACACTTTCTCTGCTGCAGCTTGAGGAAATTGCTCTTGGTCCTACAGAAAGCCCATTTCCATCTTCCCTATAATTGCCCTTGAGATATTCAAAGACTTATCAAATGCCCACCTCAGTCTTCTGTTCTCAGAACTAAGCTTCTAGTCAACATTCCCTTCTTTATATGTCAAAAGATCTCCTTGGCCTCTTAGTTGACAGCTTTCTCCTGGGAACTCATCTCAGCCCATTGTTCTCTTTATAGTCACCACTTCCCAGCACAGAGACCCTATCTTATAAACACAGTCTATAGATCTGGGTCCTTGGTGTGTTTGCCTCATTTGGTTCTACAAGTACCTGCATCAGTTGTCCCCAGCTTGGCAAACCATCCATATTATTCTGATTCGATAGACCTGCTCGCTTCATGGACTACCATCTCCTGTAATTTTTGGTGCCTTTATGTTCCCCAGGATGGTGGGGGCTGGTGGGTATGGGGGAAGGGTGTGACAGTGCTTTAACTACAGCAGCTCTCAGGAACTGCTCTAATGAAGTATCACATTTTCAGCATCCTACACTTAAATGGCAGCAGGGGTGCTTTAACTAAAGCTCATTCAATGAGCTTTATTTATAGCACCCTTGCCACCATTTTGAAGTGCATGGATGCTGAATACATGCGACACTGAGGCTATTAATGGAGTCTACTCTGCAGGATAATTAGTGTACGTTAAAGCAGACCTCGCCAAATGTATAGGTGCCCATCATCACTAACTATTCCATGTTTTGTTCCAGATCACTGATAAAGAATGAGATCATAGGAAAATGAGGCTGGAAGGGACTTTATGAGGTAATCTAGTCTATTCACCTGCTCAGGGCAGGAACACCCCTAGATAAAACATCCCAACCAAATGTCTATCCAACCTGGTCTTGAAATCTTCAAGGATGGAGATTCCACAGCTTTTTCTAGGGATCCTGTTCCAAATGCTTGACCCACACATAGTCAGAGGGCACGTCTACATGAAATGCAGCTAATGTATAGTATGGGCACATGTCTACAAATCCAAGCCCTTACTGCACATTCAAAATGGCTAATCACCATTGCTACCTTTTGATACCTGCAAATGTGCATTAACACACACTTGACCCAACACTAAATTTTTGTGCCAGGCCTGCCTAGCCACTAGAGGGCCACCCTGCGCTCCTCCCTGGTGGCCACGGGAGCACATGGAAGCACTACATGAATTGTGCTTAACTTTAGTTCCAAATCCCTGCACATGTAGACACCTTCCAAAAATTGCTTAATGTGCATTAGCTTAATGCACACTAAATCTGGTGGTTTTTATTTGCACATGTAGATACACCCTAGACAGTTGTATCTAATCTCCAACCTCAGTTTTCTCTGCTTCTGTTGGAGGCCATCACTCCTAGTCCTGTCCCCTACAGTCAAAGAGAAGTTTGTCTTCAGCTTTGCTTTTAATAACCCTTCATGTATTTGAAGACTGTTATGGAACATAACCCCACCCCCCAGTTTTCTCTTCTCCAAACTAAATTAACCCTAGCTCTTTCAGACGTTCATGTAAAATCAAGAACACACACACCACATACGATCACCTGTTAACAACTTCAAAGCACTTAGCTAATTTCTTATCCATATAATGTACCAAGTCAAATGCCTTAAAGACCTCCAAATGCATTATAGCAATACTTTGACCTTGCTGAACTACCTGGTAATCACACTATTACTTTATGAGTTCCTGTCATAGGTCACAGTAATCTGAGAAGTGCATTTTTAAACAAGCACCACTATACTGAAGCTGGATTTAACCCACAGTTTGCTGGTACCTGGAGACCAAACCTGATCACAAGAGGCATTACCAGCTAAGGGAAATTTCTACGCCAAACAAGGGTGAGTGTCTCTGCCATCAGGTATTGCACAGGCTGAAAACAAACTAAACTAGTTTTGACCTATACTTGGTACTGATCATGGGTTTTATTTATAGAATCAGAGAGAAATATGTTGCTCCAAATTTTAACTGGGGGGAAGAATGAGACTACTGAGGAGCAGTGAGACCATTCCAGTCACAACTCAAAATCTTTATTAGGATATGCAATAACAAAGATTTATTTTTATTAACAAAGACCATGCTTACACGGCCTTGGATTCAAGGAGAAAACTGATCCGCTGGCCAGGCTTCTCTCTTTCCTTTTGGGGACTCTTGCCAAGGTGGTTCCTGAGCTTTAGAAAAGTCCAAACTTCCTTTCAGTCTATGCCCAATATCTATAGATGGCTGGTTCCTATATCTTAATGAATTATCCCTAGTTGGTTTTATTTAAATTTCTTTGTTTAACTGAAACTCTCTTCGACCTGGATTAAACTAGATCTCTTATGGACTTGGGAGGTGTCAATTTAGTTGGGATTTATATCCTTGGTAAAGTAAAAGGAAACTTTCCTTATCTTCTTTCCTTTCCCACTGTGGAATGCTGTTTAACACTGGTCTGTTACTACTTTGCCTTTGTTTTGTTTTTACAAACTTGCCTCTTCAGAGAAGACCATAAACTATCTAAGGATTTTAACAAAAATATATCTAATATAGAAAAATAACCTTTTTGGTCGTATCAATCATTTCTACTAATATTTTAAGATAAAGCTATGAAATGGTATATTTGGATTATTTAATATATGGTCTTCCCTTTTATAATATCTCCTTTCAGGCCTTGTACTTTTGCTTAATTATGTTCAGTTAGAAATATAGATGCCTTCCTTTACTTTTCTGACCAAGCTAGTTGTCACATCTGCAAAGGTTTATGTTATGGTCACTCAGACATGGGCTTTGGGGCCTTCTGCTTAGTCACACTCCAGCTTTGCTTAGACCCCTTAAAAATGACTAATCCTAGCAATAGCACTTATTGTTTGGTCATGCTTTGGACACTGCATGCTTAACCTACATCACTGCTTCATATGTCAAGCTCAGATCAGGTCCCAGAGGGCTGGAAAAGGGCCAATGTGGTCCCTATTTTCAAGAAGGGGAGGAAGGAGGACCTGCTAACTTATAGGCCTGCTAGCCTCACTTCTATTCTCAGCAAGACCTTAGCAAAAATCATAGAGGATCACATTTGCAGGGGGCCAGCAAGTCACACTATGGTAAGGGGCAGCCAGCATGGGTTTATAGCATGCAGATCCTGCCCGACTGACCCTTTTTTTTATAAATGGCTCGCATAGTGCTTAGATACAGGAGTGGAAGTAAATACTTATTTACCTGGATTTAAAAAAGGCTTTTGACACCATGTTGCATTGAATTCTTATGAGCAAACTGAGTAGCTGTTGTAGATGTAGAATTTTTTCACAGTAAGGTGGGTGAAAAGCTGACTCAGGGGATGCACCCAGAGTGGTGGTGGATGGCTTGGTTTCTCCCTGGAGGGATGTGGGCAGTGGTGTCCCCCAAGGCTCTGTGCTTGGACCAGTGCTGTTTTAATATCTTCATCCTTCATTTGGATGAAGGTGTTGAAAGCCCCTTATCCAAATTTACAGATGACACTAAACTATGGGGTACAGTTAACACACTGGAGGGCAGGGAGTGAATTCGGGAAGACCTGGACAAACTGGGCGGATCAGAATAGGATGCAATTCAACAAGAATAAATGCAAGGTGCTGCACCTGCGGGGAGAGAATCTCCAACTTGTATAGACTGGGAGGTATGATTCTGAGTACCACAACAGCAGAAAGGGATCTCAGAGTCCTGGTTGATGCAAAAATGAACATGAGCCACCAGTATGATGAGGTAATAAGCAAGGCTAACCGCACTCTTTCTTGCATCAGCAGGTGCATCACAAGCAGGTCTAGAGAAATGATAATTCCCCTCTATGCAGCATGGGTGAGGCTGCAGATGGAGTACTGCATCCAGTTTTGGGCGTTGCACTTCAAGAGGGATGTGGATAACCTGGAGAGGGTCCAGAGGAGGGCTACTTGTATGGTTGAGGGCCTGCAGGCAGGACCCTATGAAGACGGACTGAGGGACCTGAATCTCTTCAGCCTCCACAAGAGAAGGCTGAGAGGCGATCTTGTGGCTGTCTACAAATTCATTGGGGGTAGGGGCAGCAGGGAGTAGGGGGCACTCTGTTTACCAGGGCATCCCTTGGGGTTACCAGAAATAATAGCCACAAACTGAAGGAGAATATATTTAGATTAGACATAAGGAAGACCTCCTTTACAGTGAGGGTTGCCAAAATATGGAATGGGCTTGCAAGGGAGGTAGTGCTTTCCCCTACCTTGGGGGTCTTCCAGAAGAGATTGGATAGGCATCTGGCTGGGGTTACTTAACCCCAGTGCTCTTTCCTCCCTGGAACAGGAGGTCAGACCTGATGATCTGCTAGGTGCCTTCCAACCCTAGAAATCGATTAAATCAGGTTCTGATATTGCCTGCAACCCATGGCTTGCACTGTACAAGCCTATGCATAGGCTGGCTGTACTCTAAAGATGCCTTACTGAGAGGGCAAGAACAAGACATCCCCAACACACAGAAAGACTAGCAAGTATGGAAGAAGACCAGCTTGGCTTGGCAGAGAATGCCTCAGTAAGCTAAATGGCAAAAAGGAAGCTGATAAGACTTGGAAACATGGACAAATAACTTGGGAAGAGTATAAGAGCATGGCTCAGGCATGCAGGGATGAAGTCAGGAAGGCCAAAGCACAATTTAAGTTACAGTAAGCAAGGGATGTGAAGGGCTTCTATAAGTCAGTAGCAAGAGGAGGATCAGGGAAAGTGTGGGTCCCCTATTGAATGAGTAAAGTAACCTTGTGACAGGATGCAGAAAAGGCTGAAGTCCTCAATGCCTTTTTTTTTTTTCCTCACCCAAGTCTTCATGGGTAAGGTCAGCTCCCAGACTGCTGCACCTGGAAGCACAGTTTGGGGAGGAGATGAAAATCCAACAGAGGTAAAATAATAGGTTGAACTATTTAGAAAAGCTGGACATACACAAGTCCATAGGGCCAGACAGAATACACCTGAGAGTGCTGAGGAAGTTGGCTGATGTGATTGCAGAGCCATTGGCCATCATCTTTGAAAACTCATGGTGATTTGGAAAGGTCCCGGATGATTGGAAAAGGCAAACATAGTGCCCATGCTTAAAAAAGGAAGATCCAAGGAACTACAGACCTGTTAGCCTTACCTCAGTCCCTGGAAAATTCAAAGAGCAGGTCCTCAAATAATCCACTTCTAAGCATTGGGAGAAGAAAGTGATTGGGAACAATAGGCATGGATTCACCAAAGGCAAGTCATGCCTGACCAACCTGATTGCCTTCTGTGAAGACATGACTAGATCTATAGATGCAAGGAGACCAGTGGAAGTGGTATACCGTGGTGTCTGTTTTTCATTTGTTTTGTTTTGTTTTTTTCTTTTAAGCAAGGTTTTTGATATGGTTTCCCCTAATATTCTCCCAGGCAAGCTTTTAAAAAAAAAAAAAAAGTACAGGTTGGATGAATAAATGGTAAGGTGCATAGAAAACTAGCTGGAGAATTGGGCTCAGAGGGTAATAATAAATGTCTGTCTGGCAGCCAGTAACAAGTGGGGTGCCCAGGAGGTTGGTCCTGGAGTCAGTTTTGTTCAATTCCTCCATCAATCTTCTGTAAGAGAGGATGGAGTGCACCCTCAGCAAGTCTGCAGATGACATCAAGCTGGGAAGAGTAGTAGATACTCTGGAGGGTAGGGCTAGGATTAGGAATTACCTAGACAAATTAGAACAGGGGTGGGCAAAATGCGGGCTGGATGCAGTCCACCAGGCCATTCCATCTGGCCCATGGGACCCCTAAAAAAAACTTTAAAAATTTAATATTTATCTGCCCCTGGCTGCCTGTCATATGGGCCTTGATGGCTTGCCAAAACTCAGTAAGTGGTCCTCCACCCAAAATAATTGCCTTCCCCTGAATTAGAGGATTGGGCAAAGGAATTTCATGGGGGTTCAGCAAGGACAAGTGCAAAGTCCTGCACTCTAGATGGAATAACACCATGCACTGGTACTGGCTGGGCAGCAGCTGTGCAGAAAAGTCCCTGGGGGGTTACAATGGCCAATAAGCTGAATAGGAGCCAGGAGTGTACCCTTGTTGCCAAGAAGGCTAATGGCATACTGGACTGCATTGGTAGGTGTGTTACCAGCAGGTCAAAGGAAATGATGATTCCCCTCTATTCAGCACTGGTGTGGCAACATTTGGAGTACTATGTTCAGTTTTTGGGCCCCCACTACAGAAAGGATGTGGAGAAATTGGAGAGGGTCCAGCAGAGGGCAACAAAAATCATTTGGGGGCTGGGGCACACAACTTATGGGAACAGGCTGAGGGAACTGGGCTTATTTAGTCAAGAGAAGACTGAGAGGATTTAATAGCAGCCTTCACCTATTTGAAGCGGATGCATTCAAAATGGAGGATAGAGCTAGACTGTTCTCAGTGGTGGCAGATGACAAAACAAGGAGCAATGGGCTCCAGTTGTAGCAAAGGAAGTTTAGGCTAGATACTAGGAAGAATTTTTTTCTCACTAGGAGACTAGTAAAACACTGGAACAGGTTACTTGGAGCGCTAGTAGAATCTCTGTCCTTGAAGGATTTGAAGACTTGGCTAGATAAAGCTTTGGCTGGAATGATCTAGTTGGAGATAGTCCTTGTTGAGCAGAAGGGTGAACTAGATGACCACCTGAGGTCCCTTCCAACCCTAACTTTTTCTATGATTCTATGTATGGCCTACAAGTAGGGCCAAAGGGGACCTCCAGAGGTCATCTAGTCCAAGCCCCTGTCTGGGGTTGGATTATGCTTATTCAAACCTTTGTATACAAACTCGTTATCCAACCTCTTTGGAAAAAACAGTCAACCCTTTTACAACCACAGGACATAAGAGGGGACATGATCACATTCTTCAAATATTTGAAGGGCTGCCATAAAGAAGAGGGTGCGCACCTTGTTTCTCTTGTTGCAGAAGGGAGAATGTGGACCAATGGTTTGAAGTTGCAGCTAGAGGGGATATCTGGAAAAAAACTTCGCTGTTAGAGTGATGTGGTGGGATAGCCTGCTGAGAGAAGTTATGGACTCTGCATCGCTGGAGGTGTTCAAGAAGAGGTTGGACAGCCACTGGTTGGGGATGAGTTAGGCATAGCTATGCTTATCTTCTGCCATGGGTATTTCTCATACTTCTGGCCTGTGGTTGCACAGTCTCTGCCCCCTTTTATTCTGCTATACATATCTAGGTGTTTTTAAGCCTCCCCAGATGAACTGGGTTTTGGCTACAGCTAAGGCTGGGGACTCTAACTGGGGGTGTGCCAATTCTCCTGCTAGGAGCAAAGCCGGACCTTCCTGGCTATAGGGTCTTGGCCCTCTGCTTAGGGTCAGACTGACTGCCATATTTGGGGTCAGGAAGTAATTTTACCCTATGGTCAAATTGGTATGGACTGTGGGAGGGCTTTTTGCCTTCCTCTGTAGTGGGAGGAATGGCCCTCTACCTGGGACATCTTAAGTGTATACTAGCAACACTTTACAGAAGCAGGACATTGAATGCCATGGTTCCCCTGCTTCACCTGTGGCAGTTTAGGGTGTTAGGTCTAAGTTGTATCAGGATTGAGGGTAGTCATATGGAGAGTTTTTATAGTATGGTGATACAGAATGGTTTAGATAGGGATGATTCTCAGGCAGGGCGTTGAATTAGATGATGACCTGTGGAAGTCCCTTCCTGCCCTGCTTCTCCATGAAATGGCACCCTAACCCACAACAGGGGCCAACATCTCACTGCTGCAAAGGGTATTCAAATATGTTCAAGAGATCCAAGAAAGAGGGCCATGCCCCCCACTACAGAAGAAAGCTAAAACCTACTCCCAATCTCACTGTGGGGTGAAACTCCCTCCTGACCTATAATGTATTGATCAATCTAACCCTGAGCAGGGTACCTTTGGGTTTGAGTCGCAGCAGGAGCATAGGTACATCCCAGTCACAATCCCCAGCCTTGGCTGTGACCAACACCAATGCCTCTGAGGAAGGCAAAACCCCTGACACATGTAACAGCAGTACAGTTTTGTCCTGTAGTTATAGTACTCAAAGAAGTGGGAGATCTTGGTTCATTTCTCTCTTCAATTTGAGAAGTTCACACCCAATTCTCTTCCCCTCCCCCCCGCCTTCCTGGAGAATGTCCTCAAATCTAAGCTACAGCCAGGGTTCGGGGCAGTCTTGCCTTTCCTGGTGAGGCAGCCCCACGGGGCAGAATGGGATCACATTTCTTGCATTTCTGAATTATGATAAAAGGGCATAAGTGCGAAGGGGTCTGGAGCATTTGCTCAGGGAGAGGAAAACATGAGCTCCAGGTCTCATTTCTGTAGCTGCTTAATACTTGGGGAGTAGGGACCAGAGCACCTACATCCTTCCTACAGAGCAGCTTACAGGTAGTCCAATAAAAGATACCATACACAACCATACTTACCTAGAACACCTTGGGTACCTGAGCAGTTATTTGGATACGAAGAAGCCTGGAAGACCAAAGTCCTGAACCTAGACTTCAAACAACCCATGACTCAGCCCAGATCAACGAACCAACATTCAGTCTATACTAAGTGCTCAGTGCTTGCTACAGTAGCTAGCAGATCTCTACAGCTGACACCTGACTGGGAGAAGCTGCCAGTAGACAGTACCCATCAACTAAACCTAAAAGTCAGTTTTGGTGTCCTGCAGGGGAGCAGATTTTATTGGCAAGCTACAGAAATAAACAAATCACAAGTAAGTTTAGTCCAAGATGAAAAGAGAAATGAAAAACCAAGCTACATACAAAGGATTAGGGAGTTTTGGCTAGAAGGACCCTAAACTTGTAAAAGGAAAGGATTTTTTGGGGTGATGTCTTTTACTGGACCAACTCTATGGTTGGAGTAAAGTTAGATAAGCTTTCAAATGTAAGGCATTCTTCAGATGAATTTCAGATGATGAAGAATGTCTTGCATTCAAAAACTTGCCTAACTTTACTTGTCTAACTGGTCCAACCATAGGGTTGGTCCAAAAAAAGCCATCACCCCAACAAATCCTTGTCTCTCATCATTCCTGGACCATCGTGACTACAACACTGCCCTAACACTACCCTACATTTGTAACATGTCCTGGGCCAAATTCTTTTCCACCTGCTCAGCATCAGTGTGTATTCAGGCATGTAAGTTTGATTCTGATCCATCCTATTCAAATCTCTGAAAAATCCATTACTAAATGTACTTTTCAAGCCCAACATCGTGCAACCTTTAAGACCAAGTCAAAAAAAAAAGTGGGGTGGGGGGAAAGAAAATGAGGACTTACCCAGCTTTTGCATTTACTGTTTTCCAAAGGCTTGAGCAGGCTGGAAACAAAGCGTATTTAGGTACCTATGTCCACTTCCATGGTAGAATAGAACATGGTCCTACATTTGCCACTATTAATAATCAATACTTAAGAGTCTTGGTCATTGTAGAAAGATGCTATACATTGGCCTGTTTTTGAGTGCTTTTCTTTGCAATAAGTCCCATACAAGCATAGGTTGTACCTCAGCTTATGGAGGTCAATGTAACTACTGAAGGTACTAGTGCTAGCTGTTTGATACCAATAGGGGAGAATGAAAAAGGTTGAGAGAGTGAGACCCAAACAGATGAAGGATAGAAGTGACTGGCCCCAAGACACAGCTCAAGTTAAGAGAAAGTTCAGAAAATCTCCCAGGTCTTTCAAATCCCTATAGAAGCTGAGGCCATAAAGATGGGCATGCCCCTCAACCAGCATGAGTTAACTGTGGCTATTCCAGTGGTGTTACATCAGGAGTAGGTCCATCCTCATCTCCTCAAAGTTGTGAGTGTTTCCTTTTCCCTTTCTCTTATCAGGAGTGGAGGAGAAAGGGAAGTGGTATTGACATTGACCTAATACTGTTGGGTTTTCTTACTTGGAGATTGACTTTGGGATGAATGATTCAGTGCACAGAGCACATTGATAGGAAAATAAATAATTATGACAAAAGCTAATTCAGCAACAGTGAATTCTGAACTTCTGTCCACTGACGGATCCCAGAACATGATCTATCCACCTTCACCCACAACACTGCTCTTAAGTGCTCTCTCTTGTTTTCATAGTGCTACGAAATGGCAGCAGTAAAAGGACAAACTCAGGACACAACCAAAACTATGTGGAATGCTGATAGAGTGTCCAAGATGCAGGAAGAGGCTGGGCTGCTAATGAAGCCCTATGCCAGCTGGGAGGAGTTCCTCATGCCTGCCCCTGCCTGCATTGCCATCTTAGGAAAGCTGATCTGCAGCACCTCAGAGCAGGGCCCCTTCACCCTCCAAGAGAGTTCCTCCAATGCTGACTTTACACAAGTTGATCCCCCAAAGCACTTCAAGACCCACTTGCATAAACTGAGTAACCATTTCTGGGAGGCTTTCAATGAGGCCCACACAACCATGGGTAGCATTAAGGATTTCTCTGAGTCTGCAGTGACCAAGATGAAAAACTTCATACAGTCCTTCCAGGAAGCTGATGTGGCAAAGGCCTTGTCCCTAACAAGCCTAAATAAGATAAAGAAGAGGGCAGAAAAATGCACAACCTACGTTGGTAGTGTGAAGACAGGGTTCTCAGCTGTGACCAAAATTATTCATAAACTCCTGGAGGACTGCCTGGAAACCAAGAAAAGCTATGAGGATAAGCTAAGAGATGTGCAGGGAGCACTGGAGCAGGCCAAGAAACAGGAGGAGGCAGCCAAGAAGGCCAAGGAGGTGGCTGAGCAGCATCTAAAGCAAATGGGACAGCAACTGGAGGAGACTTTCAACCAGTACAAGATGAGCCTGAAGTCCATCCCATCCGGGTGGGAAGCTGTAAATGTGTCTATCAAGCAGAACATGATAAATGTTCTCCTTGGCCAAGGGGCAAATTTTCTAAACAAACTGGCAGAGAATTGTGGCTTCTCCATAGGTGACATAGAAGGTGAAATGGCCAAGTTACTAAGCATGTCTACTTCAAGCCCAGAGACCACTATCTGTGTTAGGGCAGATGAGCTTCTAGAATATGCAAAATGGCTTAAAAATGTAACTTCAAACGGCAGGCTCCAAATGGATCTCATCTTTGACCAGAAAAGCCAAAATGTTAAAATCCACTGGATAAAACATCATTTCCAATCCCAGAAAAATGAACTAAATGAACAAGTTTCATGTAAAGCCAAACAAGAAGCCCAAGAGATCTGTCAGTTAGGTATTTCTATCTGTGAAGAGTTAGAACAAATAGCCTTATCCCAAAGCACAGAGGAGAAAAAACAGCAGAAAGTGATTGAGGACATCTGTGAACTTCATCAGAAAGCATTTCAGTTTACTTCATATAGTAAAGACTTTGTGAGGGTCCCAGCTTTCCCCTATGTTGAAGGTCAAGAGGACTCACACTGGCATGGAATTGAACAGGTGAAAGAAAATGTGAAGCAGAGAGAGAAGATGTTCAAGGCAACTCAGGAGAAGTATGAAAAAGGTTTTGAAGACCTGGTGAAGTGGAATGAGGAGCTGACAAAAGTCCACTGTGACATAAAGCAGTACGAGATGAGGAAAATAGATTTTGAGATGCTTGTGACTATGCTGATCGAAGAATCTGATGCCCTGCAGAAAATGAATCGGCAGTGGGAGAAGATGGGGCAACTTATCCAGATGATTTCCAGTTTGCTTGACTTCAGCTCCTGCCGGGACATCCAGGAGTATTTAAGTTCCATGGAAAGTGTTCAGGCTGTAGACTACTCTTCTAAAATCTTGGCAATGGATCTGGTTTGCACCCAGGTTTTCAGTGCAATCAGCGTGGCTCAACTAGTTTACATGATCTCCAACAGCTACAGGAACTTATCTGATGATCACCTGATGCCCGGGTTCCAAAGCCTCCAGGACGTCATCAGCACAAAGTCTTCTAGTTTTGATGCCACTTATTTTGAAAATGCCCAGCGTGCTATCTACAAAAAAGTGGAAAATGCAAAGGATGACTTTAAGAACAGCATACAGGCCAGGATAGAGAAAGTGAAACAATAAATGAGGCAAAAAAAGTTAAAATAGTAGTAGATATTGTTTCGTAAGTCTTGTAGTCATTACAGCTAAATGCACATCTCTTATTCAGATTCATTAAAAAAGTCGAGTCACTCTTGAGCATCCTGACAGGGTTTCCAATACTTCAATCAGTCGTTTCTACACCTGAGTTAATATTATCATGCCTGATCTAAGCTTTTTAGCTAGAACTAAGAGCAGAGTGCAGGACCATAAAACAGAAGAGAGACATTTCCAGAAATGTCTAACAGACAGCAAAATTTCAGAAGAAAGGATAGTTTGAATAGTGGAACTTGAAGACCATAAAGAAAGGACAGAGGGTCATTAACACCTATGGACTTAATCAGGAATTGGATAGATTTTAACGACCTATGAAGTCAACTGACTCCCTCAGTTCTGCCTGAACAGAAATCCTGCAGGTCCTCCCAGGCAGTAGGCTTTAAAGTTTGGATGGAGTTGGAATCAAAGGGGTGAGGCAGAGGCATGCAACTACACCTGTAACCCTCACCTGGATCTGTTCCTCCCCAGATCCATGATGCCACTGCTGAACTCCACCACCACTGGACCATTCCAGCTGCTGCTGGACTTACAGACCAGGCCTGGGAAGAGCCCTATATTTTGAATCCAAGCCAGGGTGAATTTGACATCCCTACACTAAACTACCCTTTCTTCCAGTATCAAGGGAGCCCATTTCTTCTTAGATGAACATAAATATACCTGGTCTCTCCCCATCAACTCTTCAGCAGATCTTCCCATCAGACATATTTTGGGCCACTGGTACCGTTCAAGCTGAAGAAGATCCTTCTGATCTGTTGTCTTGGGCTACTGGAAGCAACCAATGAACCCAATGAAACTCAGTTCCACAGAGGACACAAGTACATAATTGTATATCCAGTACCTAGGCTACACCAGTTCAATGAACCACATGCCCAAAAATACTGGCCTAGACCAGTGATTTTTCAACCAGGCTGCCCACTGCAGCTTTTGGATCAATATCAATACAGTGACTGTGTAAGGCAATGTGGTGCACAACTGTCAGGTTTGACTATTTTTTAAAGGCCTGAGCCACGGAAGGTGGCTAAGACAGAGGATCCCCATGAGGCTCTGCCTAACTGACCATAGCAGAAAAGCACTGCAGATGCAAGAGCTGGTTGAGCACAGCAAAGGAAGCCATTTGTATGCTTCATTAAGACACCATCAAACAGAGCACAAAGTAAAAGGAATTTGGGAAAACAAAACAGCCTTGTCAAACCATAAACTAAAGGGAAAAGGTAATGGACCAGTGTTCCACAATGGAAAGGGAAACGAGATAAAGAATCCACCTTTGCTTTCTCAAGGATCTAAATCTTAACTAATTGCCTCTCTTCAGGGCCACAAAATATCTGTTTCAATCCAGTTTTGAAATTTTCAGTGAAACAAATTTTAATAAAAACAATCAGGGATTAGTTATTAGAATACTGAAACTATGCTTACCAGACATCCATAAATACTGGACATCATCAGGGGGGGAATTTAGAGACATCTACATGCTGAACCATTTGGAGACTGAAGAGACTGGCCAGCTTTGTAGCAGTCAAGACCCATTCCATAAGATTTTTCTTTATGCTTTCTTACTAATCTTGCTTTGTCAATTCTAATATAATAAAAGATGTAGCACTTCCATCTGTCTGTCTGTAACACTCCGGGTCAACCGTGCATGTGCCACCGAGATGGCAGGAGCCAACTGGCTGACCCCTGGTGCCCATGGGCACAACTGTGTGCCAGGGACTAGGGAGCAGCCACACTGCGCTTCCCTCCCAACAACAGCCAGCAGGGGAGGGGAGCAGGAAGGGAAAGAAGAGGGGAGAAGGGGGTTGCAGTGCCCCACTGCCACAGGAAGGGCCAGGGGGTGAGTAGGGCTGGGGCTGCACTGGGCTGGGTCCTGGGACAATGGGAGCCCAGCAGCTCTGGCAGGGGTAGGGCCAGGCGGATCCCATCACTGCACGCCCCGCAGGGGAGGGGAGGGGTGAGCTGGGTCATATTGGCACCAGCAAAGGGAAGGGTGGGGTTGGCCAGCTTTTGCCACCACACAGGGTCAGATGGGGTGGACTGGGTTAATTTTTGTTAAGTTAATCACTACTCAAAAATTTTTTTTAAATAAAATTAAAATCTGTTATAGTAGATGTTTGATTTTTAGTATATGATACTTTTTCTATACTTTGTTAAAATGATTTGTTATGAAAGATTTTGTGTGTGCAGTCCTGGACTCAATTGGTTTGGCTCCGTTCTGGGGGAGGTCTGATGCCCCTGAAACCCTACCGATGGGGCAGGATGCTAGAGGGGTCACAACCCCGTGTTGTTTGATAAGTTGTACCTGTGCCTCATGAGCTAGAGGGCAGCACTCTTGGGGCCCCCGGAATAGGCCACACACTGTGACGGTGGGCCCTGTGGTGTGGCAGTGTTTCCCAGTAAAGGGGTAGACCTTCCAATGTCAGAAATTATGTGATGAGGGCAGGTGATTCTGAGACAGATGCAGCCAGTGGGGCAAGGTTTGGTGTTGGGTGGGTGGGTCTTAGGACACAGACCATATGACAGGGTGTAAGTTCTAGTTCTAAGGCCATACCCCTCCCAAAAGGAGTACTTCCAGGGGCAAGGGGAGGGACTTTTGGTGAAAAAGGTCAGGGGTTAGGAGGTGGGACTTCCAGTCTCAAGATGGTGACCAGGGGATGGGGCAACTGTCAAGGAGCAGGGCTACCTATGCTGCCCTCAACAGCTCACCAAAACTCATGAAGTTTTATTTCCTCCAGCTGAAATAATTGCCCACTCCTGGTTTAGGGTGATTTCTGGTTCTGTGCAGATGTATTTGTTGGTCTGTGGGTTTCTTGTATATCATGGTTGTATTTTACCAACCTGGATAGTGACCTTCATGCCTGACAGCAGTTCAGAGTGCTTTTAACACTTTGAATTCCTATTTGAAATCTCTGGGTTTATCTTGCAAATCATGTGAGCACAGTTAAGACTGCTAACAATGTGTGGAAATAAGGTCAAATGTTGCACTAGAGGCAAAAATTGCAGCCTGTCCCTCCCTTCTAGCGTGCCCACTTCTCCCCATATCTCAGTGTCATCTGCGAATTTGAGCAAGGTGCTCTTCACCCTCTCATCCAAGTCACTGATGAAGATGTTGAACAGCGCAGGCTCGAGGACCGAGCCCTGGGGGACCCCACTGCCCACATCCCTCCAGGTCGAAAATGACCTGTCCACCACCACTCTTTGGGTGCGGCTCTCCAGCCAATTGGTGACCCAGCTGACTGTGCAGGCATTGACACCACGATCTCCTAATTTTTTAACGAGATTCGGGTGAGAGACAGTGTCAAAGGCCTTCCTTAAGTCCAGGAAGACTATGTCCACCACAACACCTGCGTCCAGTGATTTTGTGACCTGGTCGTAGAAGGCCACCAGGTTGGTCTGAGAGGACATGCCTCTAATGAACCCATGTTGGTTGCACCTAAGCATACACTCCCCTGCTTGTCCCTCGCAGATGTGCACCTGGATAATTTTCTCAAAG